GAGCGAGCCCTCCGCCCCGGCAGGAACGGCGGCCGGACCGCGGGGAGCGAGCCCTCCGCCCCGGCAGGAACGGCGGCCGTGCTGCGGTGAGTTCTCCGAGCCCCTCGGCGCTCCTCCCCTTTGGGCTTGGAGGGCTTTTTGGCGGGGGGTGTTGCCCTTCTCCCGTACKCCGCGGCCGTGCTCGGGAGAGATTCGGGAGCGCAAGCAGCGGGGCGGGGATCGGGGGTTTTCGGCGTTTTCCCCGCCGTGGGGAGAGAGGCCAGCCCGCGTCCCACCCCGCCCCGGGCGCTGCGTGGAGCTGTTGTCCCGGGGGGAGCTCCCGGGCCCCGCGGCGCCCGCCCCGCTGCCATCGCCCCGGAACGTGGAGTGTCCCCCGGCCCCGGCGGGTCCCGGGCGGTGCCCAGCCCCATGGGCGCCGGGCAGGGGGCGCCCACGCGGGGGCGTGGGATGCGGGATGCTGCTGCTGCGCTGCCTTCTCCATGGCAACGCCTCCGGAGGCTGCTGCAGCCCCGGCGCCGGCTGGCACGGCGGCTCCCACCCCTGCGGCGGCTCCCACACCACCGATGTGACCCTCCTGATGGGGTTCCCGCSGGCTTTGGGGGGTCTCAGCCCCTGAGTGCCTCCCCAAAGGCACAGCACTTTGGGGCTGCCCATCGTCTGTGTGTGCCAAGCCGCTGGTGCCGGTGTCACACATTTTGCTGCAGGCGCGCTCTGGTCCAGCCGGTGCTTTGATGTGGGAGCTGGGGTGGGAGTAGGATTTTGGCATGTGCCGGTGTTGGGCTATGGTTTGGCTGCAAGCAGGTGTGCGGCTCGGGCATCTGGTGAGGAGGTCGGGTCTGTCATTGGCTGCACCCGCCCAAAAATTCTGGGAGATTCTGGTCAGGGGTCTGCATGGAGGAGGGACAATGCCCTTGCTGCATGGAACCTCGGGGGTTGGCACCCACTGCCGCTGGTGTCCGATGGCTGTGGTCGGATCCTGATCTTTTGCTTGGCACAAGCAGTGAACAGAGGGGTTTTGTCCCTGGGGTCTGCAGTGCTCATGGGTGGCCGCGCTGCCTCTTGTATTGATGCTRGTGTGAAACAGTCTTTCTGCATCTTTAAGTGATCAAGGTTAATTTACGGCAAAGACGGATGATAATGTGCCTCCTGACAAAAGCCACGTGAATTGACAGGGCTGTGCTGCCAAACTGGGGGCAAGGGGCTCCCGCTGGAAATCTGAGGCAGCTGATGGAAGAGATCATGGGGTGCAGCCAAGTCCCCTTTGCYGGGTGCTGGGGATAGGGGAACCCATGGCACAGGCTGATTTGTGGTTTGGACCAGGCCTGAGCACTGCAGATGCCCGGCATTGTACAGCCAGCCGGCTTCTGCTGGCAGCATGGAGAGGGAGAAACCAGCRTTTTCCTTTTTTTCCCTCTCTAGAGGTTGATTCTGATACTGCGTACAAAATCAGGTGCTGGTGTGTATTAATGCCTGTGGTGAGCCGTGCTGCAACCTCGTAATCCTCCCTTGCCAAAAAAAAATGTATTCCAAAGCTATGGGCACTCCTTGCCACCCCTCTTTGAGTCCTATTAGGAGTAAATGGGTCCTGCAGCATCTGGACCTTTTTCCATGGGCACTGGAGTTTGTTTTGGCGTGCATTTCCCCCAAACCCTGTGGGTCAGGCATCCACCTTGCTGTTCCTCGATTAATRAGTGACTTGCCCTGCTCTCCCCATGGCCATATGCCGGGACGTGCCCCAGCTCTGTCAGGAGCAGGAAGCAAAAGCCAAAGTCCATGATCTCCGAGCTCCCAGCGTGGTGTAACACCGGGACAGGAGGAAGCAGTGACGCTTCCTGGCTCTGGCCAGCGTTCAGCTGGTGTGTGGCTCTGCCGGTGGTGCCCTGACACGGCCCCGGGATTTTGGGTCTGGCCAGCCAGGCGTGCGCCCTGCTCCGTGTCCTGGCCTCTGCCCCGGGGAGGCAAACAGGATGGGTGAGGTGTAAAATCAGCGCTGAATCCGCTCCCCTGGGCTTGAAACGGAGTCAAACCGGTCTTGACCTGAGCTGGCTTCTTATCTGACCCTTTGTTTGTGGCAGGGGTGCAGGAGGGAGCAGGAAAGGGACAGCCACGGCGGGTCAGTCCTCTGGTGAGGACAGGCGAGATCTGGGGACAGCTGGTCTAACTGGATCGTGTTTATCTCCCTATGCTTCTGTGCTTTGTTTTGGTTTCTTCCTCCTCTTTTTCCCGCGCTGTCATGTCACAGCTGAGGAACTCAAGGCAGTGTGGACATGGAGCTGTTGGGCAGCTGGGCTTCCCAGAAATTCGGTTTGTCAGCCAGCCAGGAGCGTGGCTCTTCTGACTCCATCCTCCTGCTTTGGAGTTTCCTTGCACTGACCATCCCTGCTGGGTCCATCCCTAAAGGTCTTTGGCTGATGCAGTTAGAGCAGCCCATGACATGCCCAGGCTGCAAACTGGTGCATTTATAACCTGTGCTGGTAGCATGTGGACCCTGACAGACACACCACCCAGAGCGGGTGGTCTTCTGCCCATCCTCCTCCTGCACAGACACTCACTGAGCTGCTCCTGCACGGCCACTTTTATCTCTGAAGTATTAATAAATGAAGCCTGCCTATTTCTGTGAGCCTTTTTAAGAGGCTGGCGGGGCTGCCTTCAAGGCTTGCTCGGCACTGCAACTATTCAGAGCTTTTTTCCGCATGTGCTCTAGCAGTCGATAAGCCAGGGCATCCAGYTGTCAGCTTTGGAGATTGCCAAAGCCTGCTCAACGACATTTCTGCAGGCTTCGCTCACAAATGAGGATTTTGTTGGACGCTTTGGTTTCTGACTTGATGCTGGTAATTAAATATCTTAACTTGGCTTCAGAAAGCTGCCACTGCTGTGGAGTGACTGTTGAGGCCATGTGAAGCAGGATGTGCTTGTTCTGCTGGAATTGAGTGTGACCTCACTATGATTCTTCAACCTGCAATTTATTTTCTTATAAAAATACACTTTTTTTTTTTTATATGAGTAAAACCCTTTTAAAAGRGGATGAAAAACTTTGTGTTTTACTGCTGTGCTGTTAAGCTTGCATGGACCTGCTGGGACAGCTGTTTTATTTGCAAGTTGTGGCAGCCGAATGCCATAAAATTCAAATCATGTCCATATTGATTCCCCACCCCTTTTAAGATAATCATATGTGTACTTTTCACTCRTGTACCACAACAGATGTTAGTACCATGCTGAAAAAATAGAGATGATATGACCAATGGGCTGTAAATTGGGGCAGAAATATCGAATGCCTGATCCTGACTTGTGTGTTAGTTAATTTACATGCTAAGTCACATAGATTTACTCACTCTGTGTGTTTACCAATCTAGGGGATGAGAGAAACAACTCAAAAGTGTTGGAAAGTAGTTAAATATTCTAGCAGAAGCTCTTCTGTGTATTGTATTARATCCCTCACCCTTAATGACACATTCTTAGAGCAGCCTGGCCTAGTGAACAGGAGYTGGAATTAGATGGTCTTTAAAGTCCATTCCAACCCAAACCWTTCTGTTATTCTGTGATTCCCAACTTTGTATTTAATGCAAAATTTAGAGGCTCCACAGCCCCTTGCCAGCTGCATGTTGTGATCTGCTGTTTGCCTTTAATTCTTCTTTCCTTTCTTACTCAACTGGGAGAGAAGCTGTGTTGATGCCTACTTACCCTCTTGCCCTCTCAGGAGACCATTTGTACTTGGTGTCTTCTGTCCTTGTGGTGTGTTTTGGAATCCACTGAGGAACCAGGAGTTCTGGGGTAGCACAGAAAATCTCAGTTCTGTGAGTCATAAAGCTTTCATAAGATCTTTGTGGCCACTGAGAAGAAAACCAAAGGAGRTGGAAATGAGAGAAGCGGCCTGGCACACCATGAGGACGTGGTCAGTTGACTGAAGAGTTTCAGGATCTGAGCTGACAGTGCTTTRTTTTGTGATTGGTGTGGCCTGAACACCAGCCACCTGAGTTGTAGCAAATTAACCAAATTAACCCTTGAAGTTGTCTGAACATATGGCCTGTGTCCTCCTCATGGTGGGGTTGGGTGGGGTCATTCCCAAGGACATCTGACCCATGCTGTGGCCAGGTCTGGAGCAACCTCTGTGCCCTCATGTGAGTCTCCGATTACTCTGTCCCCCTCCTGCATTCATCCCCAGCCTTTTTGGGGGGAATTTGTTGTAAATGTGTTAAATGGAGGAGGTTTGTGCTGCCTGGAGCACCTGGGCGAGGTTGCTCATGGTCCCTTCCTGAGTCAGCCAAACTGGATGGGGTGGCCCAGCCTAGGGACACTCACTGGTGACTCAGGGTGACCGTGACTCAGTAAGTTACTCCATGTCCTACTCCTCGTGACCCAGTTGTCTTGACAGACTCATTCAAAACATTGCCTTGACCCGCTGGAAGGGCGGTGCTGGGCAGGTGTGTTCTTACCCACCAGCTGCTCATCATGCCAGTGCTGGTTGGAGATAATGTTGGTTACTCTTCAAACCTCACCTCTTCCTGCAGTACAAGGTTTTTATTATAATTTTTATTTGGAGCTCACTTTTGGATGCGGAGGAAACACAGAAATGTGTTATGGTGCTGTTGGTAAGAGCTGATGCATTGCTGGCTGGAGACATCCCGGTCTTTCCCAAGGCAGAGCTCCCAGCAGGGCTGGCGGATGATTGAAGGGTTATTTGCCATAGCAGACAAGTGGCTTCATGTTTCCCTCCCGCATTCCTGGGGCTGAGCGCTGCATAGCGATGTGCTTTCAGCTGCGTGCTGCTTACCTGAATCATGGCTCCCCCGTGCACGCAGCTTGCGTGGAAATCGGGGCTCTCTCTGTCCAGGCTGCTCCGTCCGAGTGCCACTTTTATGGGAGGGAAATGAAATAAGGTGTGGAGGGTGTGGTGGGGGAGCCACAGAAGTGTCCGGCTCTGTCTGCGGCGGTGAAGGCGACTGTGGCTGCATTTACAGCACCTCCCGAAGGGACGCTTTTCAGAAGCTGAACCCAGTGACCCAGTTACCGACCTCTGCGTTTGGACTCTTGCCAGGAATTCTGCACTGAGGCGCCTCATCCCCTTTCGCTCAGGCCCTGCGTGGAA